TATAAATTAAAATCTAGTCTATTATATTGTCTATCTATTTTTGCCTTTCTTCCTTTGGAAAATTCAAATTTTGCAACCCCTAACCTAAATGCTTTGTGTTTTTATGGAATGAAATTTAGTGTATTGTGTACTGTTCTAAATATAAGGAGCTTCAATAAGTAACATGAACTCATCCGGTTTGATTTAACTTCAGAATGGCTGCAACGTCGTTTCATCAAGCAATTGGGACACTTCAGTATAGTGGTTGCTTTAGCATTTCCAACCTAAATCAAGAGAATGGGAATAGTTCATTTCGGTTGATTTCCAAAGGTTTTAAGCTGAGTATACCTCTGCTGAGAACTGGAACTTACTGCTCTAGAAAGAATAGTTTTAGCAATATTCATGCCTCAACTTCTCAGAGCACTGCATTTGATCCAGTTTCATCGTCGTTAAATGGCATGACAAGTGACTCCAAAAAGAAATCAAGTAAACCTCTGTCCCTTGTATTATACTTGTGGCACATTTGGTAGGTAGAATTGCATGATATGGAGCAGTACTAAGTAAGAAAATAAAAGGCTAAAATCTTGTTTGTTATACTGCCCATCCAATATTTCATACCTAACCTTCACTAATGTGAAGAAATAAAACCTAAAGTACGCCTGAAGGCTTGTGCTTTTGATAAGTAGGAATTACTAAAGCTTTCTTTTTGTTAGTTCTCAGATATAGTTTTTTCTTCTTGTTTTTTCAGGTGAAGCTGCATTGATCTTGATTAGGCATGGTGAGTCTATGTGGAATGAGAAGAACTTGTTCACGGGTTGTGTAGATGTTCCACTGACTAAAAAGGGAGTGGAAGAGGCTATTGAAGCTGGCAAAAGAATCAGCAATATACCAATTGACATGATCTATACATCTGCTTTAATTCGCGCTCAGATGACTGCTATGCTTGCCATGACTGAACACCGTCGCAAGAAGGTGAATTGTCCAAATATGTTATTGGTGAAGTTTAAATTTAAATGTGCATTCCATCCCCAACAGCTTAAAAGTTTTTAGATTAAGTGGTTCAATGTGGTTTCACAATAGGAAACGGTATGGGTTTCAAGTCTTACCGCCACTCTTTATGAAAATTATAATGGTTCCGGGTCTTCAGAAAATAAATCTGGGTTACACTTGAGGGGGTGTGTATAGTTGTTAACTTGTATTGTTTCCATCAATTTAAGCTTTTACATGAAGTGCTTTAACATTTATCAACATTAGG